TGCTCGAAGCAGGACCAATTCCCAGTTAAATCATCCCAGCCAGGGCTTTGTCAAGCCTGACCTTAAAAACCTCTAAGGAAGGAGATTCTACCACCTCCCTAGGTAACTCATTCCAGTGTTTCACCACCCTCTTAGTGAAAAAGTTTTTCCTAATATCCAATCTAAACCTCCCCCACTGCAACTTGAGACCATTACTCCTCGTTCTGTCATCTGCTACCATTGAGAACAGTCTAGAGCCATCCTCTTTGGAACCCCCTTTCAGGTAGTTGAAAGCAGCTATCAAATCCCCCTCATTCTTCTCTTCTGCAGGCTAAACAATCCCAGCTCCCTCAGCCTCTCCTCATAAGTCATGTGTTCCAGACCCCTAATCATTTTTGTTGCCCTTCGCTGGACTCTCTCCAATTTATCCACATCCTTCTTGTAGTGTGGGGCCCAAAACTGGACACAGTACTCCAGATGAGGCCTCGCCAATGTCGAATAGAGGGGAACGATCACGTCCCTCGATCTGCTCGCTATGCCCCTACTTATACATCCCAAAATGCCATTGGCCTTCTTGGCAACAAGGGCACACTGCTGACTCATATCCAGCTTCTCGTCCACTGTCACCCCTAGGTCCTTTTCCGCAGAACTGCTGCCTAGCCATTCGGTCCCTAGTCTGTAGCGGTGCATTGGGTTCTTCCGTCCTAAGTGCAGGACCCTGCACTTATCCTTATTGAACCTCATCAGATTTCTTTTGGCCCAATCCTCCAATTTGTATAGGTCCTTCTGTATCCTATCCCTCCCCTCCAGCGTATCTACCACTCCTCCCAGTTTAGTATCATCCGCAAATTTGCTGAGAGTGCAATCCACACCGTCCTCCAGATCATTTATGAAGATATTGAACAAAACCGGCCCCAGGACCGACCCTTGGGGCACTCCACTCGATACCGGCTGCCAACTAGACATGGAGCCATTGATCACTACCCGTTGAGCCCGACAATCTAGCCAGCTTTCTACCCACCTTATAGTGCAAAGGTGGAAGTAGCCATACCAACTGTAAGAGGCTAATTAATTAAGATGATCGATTATCAGCAGGAATAATATCACTATTATTGTAGTGATAATCAAGATGGCCCATTTAGACATCACTACAATAATAGTGATATTATTCCTGCTGATAATCGATCATCTTAATTAATTAGCCTCTTACAGTTGGTATGGCTACTTCCACCTTTTCATGTTCTCTGTATGTGTATATATATATATATCTTCTTACTATATGTTCCATTCTATGCATCCGATGAAGTGGGCTGTAGCCCACGAAAGCTTACGCTCAAATAAATGTGTTGGTCTCTAAACTGCCACAAGTACTCCTGTTCTTCTTAGAGTAGTTAGTTACTTAATCTCCAGAGGCAGAATAAAACAGGCGACTTAAAACTGACATTCCTTAACTGCAAGTAAAGTTACCATGGGCTGTTCATGTGGTACTGAAGCCTAGACTGAACTTTACGTCTTTTGCTTACTTCTTATGACATGTCACTTTTTATTTTATAGCTCTTTTTGTACTTCTTAAATTTTTAAGTTACGATAACCTGCTACCTCGGGCAGAACTGGTGCCAGTCTCACAATCATCCCCTTTTGGCCTTGTCTATCTACCATTACTTTCTTATTTTGGTAAAACTCCCAGTTGCCCTTGAACATCACGTCCGTGTTAATAGGAAGTGTTGGTCGCTCCATTGCAGCACTTACACCTAATTTCTCCAGAAAAGGTTCCATCCCCATAATTTCTATAAACTCATCACAGTGTTTTTATTTATTTACAGGATTTTTTTCATAGTTGTAAAGACATGTATAAAGAGCATTAGCAATCATTTTAAATAAGACATTACAATGAGAGCTGCTTTTTTGTAGATTCTCTAATTAAGCAAGATCAGCAGAGGGATAGAATCTCCTTTTTCATAATCTAAGAAAATCTCATTTGTCTAACTTTGATCTAGCAGACAAAATAATGTGTTGGTTGATTTTTAGACTAACAGCTATATTGGAAGGTAGTGCTAACAAATGATGGCTTTACAAAGTAGAAGTGATAAACCATTGTTATTGTGACTATTTCTTGAGAAAAGGCCTGAAGGAGAGTTTGGGGTATGCAAAGAATGCAGGATTGAGTCGGTACAGAGTCTTAGCTGTTCTGCTTGATTCACTGTTTACACTGCAATGTAAGCCCAGGGTTCGAACTCAGGCTCATGGCTAACCCCCTTCCATCTACACACAAATTATGCTAACCCAGAGCTCAGACCCAGGGTCCCAAGACCCCATGGTGCTGCAGAGTCTGAGCCTGAGTCAAGCTGGGACCCAGGGTTGAAACCCTATTGCTTTGTAGTGTTGAGACAGCCCCACAGGACTCATGCTCTGAGGGTATGTCTACACAAGGATAAAAGACCTGCAGCATAGCCATGGCTGGCCCAAATCAGATGACTCGGGCTCGTGGGGCCTGGGCTGCAGAGCTAAAAATCATTAGACGTTCAGGCTCAGGCCAAAGCCTGAGCTTTGGAATCCTGCAAGGGTGGAGGCTCACAAAACTCCGATTTTTCAGCCCTGAAGTCTGAGACCTGTGAGCTTGAGTCAGCTGACCCAGGCCAGTCATGGGTTTTTTATCCCTGTGTAGGCATACCCTGGGAGCCACCAAAAAATTTCAGAATTCCATGGGTTGGTTTTGTGTGTCTTCTGGACAGTCATGTTTTCCTACACTGCACCATGGACAAAGGGCTAGAGCAGCCACATTTTGGGAAGGCTCTAGGAAGTCAGGGATTTGGGTGGTTGGACTCAACCTACATAATGCTGCGTCGACAGTGGAACCCCAGGTTGCTGAACTTCAACTAAATTCTCCCCTCAGGGAGAGGGGTTGGAAAAATCTGCAGAGAAGGCTAGAAGCATAGGATCTTATCCTCTAAAGCAGGGGTAGGCAAACTTTTTGGCCCAAGGGCCACACTGGGGTTGCAAAACTGTATGGAGGGCCAGGTAGGGAAGGTTGTGCCTCCCCAAACAGCCTGGCCCCTCCCCCTATCCGACCCCTCCCACTTCCCACCCCCTGACTGCCCCCCTCAGAACCTCTGACCCTTCCAACCCCCCTGCTCCTTGTCCCCTGACCACCCCCTCCCAGGATCCCCTGCCCCTATCCAACCCCCCCCCCCCCCGTCCAGCTCCCTGTCCCCTGACTGCCCTGACCCCTATCCACACTCCAGCCCTGACAGGCCCCCCGGGACTCCCATGCCTTTCCAACCCCCCATTCCCCGTCCCCTGACCACCCCCCCAGAACCTCCGCCCCATCCAACCACCCCCTGACAGACCCCCCAGGACTCCCACACCTATCCAACCCCCCCCTGCTCCCTGACTGCCCCCTGGGACTCCCCAGCCCCCTTACCATGCCACTCAGAGCAGCATGTCTGGCAGCCACGCCACCCTGCAGGAGCCAGACACTACTGCTGCGCTGCCCTGCAGAATCGCGCAGCCCTGCCGCCCAGAGCGCTGCCCGCACGGTGGCGTAGCTGCGGAGGAGGGCTAGCCTCCCCGGCGCGGAGCTCAAGGGCCAGGCAGGACAGTCCCGCGGGCCGTAGTTTGCCCACCTCTGCTCTAAAGCAACTAAGAGATTTCAAGTGCCTCAATTTTTGAGTGCCAAAAACTTCTAGAAAAGCAGCCCCTCTAAGCACTTTTGAAAATTTAGACCACAGCATCCAAAACCCGAAGAGCCCAAAGACACACAAACCACGCTGTTAGTTTGTCCACAGTACTAACTTTCTCTGGCACTCTGGCTTGAGGAGCTCACAACCTCAAGGAGTTGCTGTTGATGCTACTGTCTCTAACTATCAAACCAGTGATATTCAAACGGAGGCTCATGAGGTGCAAGTGGCTCTTTAATGTGTCTCCTGCAGCTCTTTGCAGCACATGATATAAAAACACTGTGTGATTTAATTATTAACCAATCAGGATGCTTTTACTATGTTATTAGCCAATTGTAGTTGATAAAATAATACTTGGGCAGTCATTTTGCTGTGAGAATCATATATATAAATTAAGTACTTCCCATGTCATACTGTTTAAATTTGAATATACTGTTTAAATCTGAAGCTACAGTAAATGAAACAAAGAAGTCACACTACTGTGGCTCTTTAGGGTAATACTGATCGATAATTTGGCTCCTGAACCACTGAGGTCTGAGTATCACTGTAAAAGACTGTAGTTACTAAATTGGATAAACATGATTGCATATTTTAGGTAAATACATTTCTCCAGCCAAGTTACAAAACTTGTCTACAACCAATTAATATAAAAATAAACTTTGCATACAATGACTAAATGCCTGACACAGAAATGAAATGCTAAAGATATATTTTGGGGTTCTCTCCTCTCTTGTTAACCAGTCAATACCCCTTCCTTGGTCCCTTTACTATACACATATTCAGCTGGATGCTGGTCCATGACTAGGGCTCCTAAGTAGTACAAATAATATACAGTACTACTCGTCCAGTATACAGTACAGACATGGAGGATTTCAGGGTTTAGAGGGATTTTACCCCATGACGGGTACTCTACATGGGAAATACTATCCTGAATATTTCTTCCATAACTTCCCAGCAATCTTGGGGAGTCAATTCTGCACGCTAGTGATCAAAAGGTGGCAGCCCTGAGGGTTACTTCCATGCTAGCCTAAACCAGTAGAATTTATGTTCACAAATCAATAATGGATTGTGTTAACCTGATAAGCAACCCTATTCACTCATTTCAACAATAGAAAGACAAAAACAAGGCTAAAAAAGCAACAATAGCCTGAATATCTTTGAGCAAGCAACAAAATTGCTATATTTCAATCAGAAAAATCCAGTGCATCTCTCTGCATCTAAAACAAATTGCTTGAAGTTATATGTAACTATTCTATGTGATATATGAAGGTTGTTTTTCTCTAGTTCACTCCTACCGGAGATCCCATTACAATTAAACAGTAAAATAAGAGTTCATTTGCAATGATCATTTCTGAAATTTTGTTATGTAGTACTCTGACTATAATATTAAATACTGGTGGTTCATCACTTTTTCATTAGCTTGCCATACGCAAAACACAAAGTATTTACACATTCAATTACAAATACTATTCACTGCGGAAAGAGAAAATTAAAATCCTATTTAAGGCAGAAAAACAGAAAATAATGAATATGAATTTGCATTTCAGTAATTAAGGTAACGTAAAGTGAATTCCTTCATATTGCTGACTTAAAAGACACCTATATTTTATGATGCCAGGGCTAATGTTTCCTTAGAGGGCCAGCTTCTTAAGCAACGCAAGTTGGCAAAGCTCCATTAAACTCTAACAATGGAGCTACAATCGATTTATGCCAGGTGAGGATCTGGCCTACAGAATGTTGTAGTGGCTGGCTGTTTTCTCTTGGAGATGTAAATCTGAACTCAGGTCTTGCTCCCACACAAGTCAATGGGAACCTCACCACTGAAATTAATGATAGTCTTGGGTCTTGTACCTCACAAATCACTATTATCTGGGTATGAGAGCAGGATCCTGCCCTTTACATCACTTCTGCATCCTCCTGCTGAAAGAGAGTCACAAGAATTTATTTGTTAAAGGCAGATAACATGGCTTACTACAGTTCACTGCAAGTAAAATGAATGCATAAGTATTTTTTTTATTCTATTTAAATACAACTAAATGTGTTTCGATAGTAGACAAGCATGTAATAATTTGAATCAGACAGATTTCTGGTGTCAATAAATTCTCGGCAGAAATTCTGCATGTAGTCTAAATCCTACCCCCAACCTCTGCAGGTGTGTTACACCCTCCCTGCAGAAAAAATGGCTATATTGGACTGGGAGCACTATTCTGACAGCCTGTGTACAGCATATACACTCTTAGACACACTTTGGAAATAGCTGACCTACTGTTCTGCAAAGCCATCACTTGATTATATATATATATATATTTTTTTTGAGTCACACGTGTCAGTTGAAAGCCATGTGTTTCTTATTCAGAACTTTGACACTGGTCCAGTTTTCAGAGCAGATTCAAGACAATTATGTGAAACTCACAAGACACAGGTCGGCAGGTTCTGAATGTTTAAAGATTTTTAAATTTTCAAAAGCCATTATCCATGTAAAGCATCAACTGTTTATTACTCTGCTATTCACAAGTATCAAATATTTATGTTCCAGGACACGGCTGTGCTTAACCTTCCCAGGAAAGCAACTCATATTACACTGTTATGTAATAAGTTACTTTGGAGGCAAGATGTCTTATTCTGAACAAAAAAAGCTTATGTACATCTGCAAAATCTCTTCTCCAAAGTCAAACACGGAACTCAAATTTTTCATAAATGCTACTGTAGTCTTTCGTAGACCTATACAACTTTCAACATTTTCTACAAGGCAATTGTGTTTCGGGTCTAGTGGACTGCAGGGTCTCTTTTTCCACCAAGTTTGTAATAAATCTTCTGGTCCACATCAGTGTTGCTTACTTAACTCAGTACTTTAATAGCATCATTACTCTCCCACTTTATAGAGTATATCTCCATTCTCTTTGCGGTCTCTTGTGGAACCATCACCAACAGATGTCACTGACAGTCAGAATCTCGTCATTTCAGCTGCAAAACAACCTTCAGAAAGAAATTGAAAGAAGAAAGAGATTCAGCTACAATCAGGGCCAGAGTCACAGGCTCAAGAAGCCTGGACAATACCTTACAAACAGTCTTTGCAAATATACCTGCAGGTTTCTGCTTCACACGGCACACATGGGACACCATTCACAGAGTGAGTCCCTCCTCTCAATACATATAATCAAGCATGAGAAAACTTTACCTTACTTTCCCCTGCAATAATGAGGAGAGCGCAGAGCAAGCTGGAGTCTGCTGAAGCCTGGGCTAACGGAGCCCTGGCTGGGTAGCCCAGAATCTTGATGAGCAACTGCTCCTTTGGCTTCATTTGCAGGAAATTAAGGGGTACCCAGAGGCCTCAAAGTGTTCCTGTGATCAGCTCTGAGAAGGCCCAAACAGGAACTGTTGCCAACTGCCTAGGAGAACGCTCTGCCAAGAAGGAGCAGTTCCTGTAGGTAGCCACAGAGCTACCCCTAAAAGCAAGAGAAGGCTTTTGGCCACGGCAGGGCATATATGGAAATGTCTGCTGCACCTGGGATGAAGATGACCAGCCCAATGAGTAGCTGTCAGGTTGCCTGGTGGCCCAGTCCTGGCCCTACTACACTGATGTGCTCGTACTACTTTGAACTATGTATGACCATTTTTTTTTAAAAAACAGCACTATTACTGTCATACTTCTTCCTCATTTAGCATTTGTTATTAAAAGCACTAAGAATTACAAGCCAGGATTTCCCAGTTGCCAAGCACTCTTGAAGAAGCATTAGAAGTGTTGGCCTGCATATTGCAGCCACGACACTAAGATATTATGGATAGATAACAGCGATTAGTTTGTCAGCTAAGTTTAAAAAAAAAAAAAAAAAACTTGACCTAAGAGATAAATAGCCAACTTCTAACTGGACAATTACTTTATTCCATCATTTCTCCACCCATTCTACTGGGAGACAGAAGTTTGTAAACTGTCATTATTCCACTCCCAGGAATTAATTTGCAAACTAGACACTATTAAATTAGGCTTGAATAAAGACTGGCAGTGGATGGGTCATTACACAAAGTAAAACTACTTCCCCATGCTTATTCCTCCCCTCCCCCTCCCACCCCATTACTCTCACCTTCTTGTCAACTGTTGGAAATGGGCCATCCTGATTATCAATACAAAAGGTTTTTTTCTCCTGCTGATAACAGCTCACCTGAATTGATCACGCTCATTATAGTGTGTATGGCAACACCCATTTTTTCATGTTCTGTGTGTGTGCGTGCATACCTCTTCCAACTGTATTTTCCACTGCATGCATCCAATGAAGTGGGTTTTAGCCCACGAAAGCTTATGCACAAATATATTTGTTAGTCTCTAAGGTGCCACAAGTACTCCTCGTTCTTTTTGCTGATACAGACTAACATGGCTACCACTCTGAAACCTGTCATTATCAGTAAATCAACAGATATTTAAAGCACGTATGTCATTCATCAACAGTGCTAACAAACCACTGTACCTTATAAAGTGCCTTGAATAAATGCTGCAATTTGGTTGAGGATGCCTCCAATTCATGTGATTACCATCAACAAATATACAAGTCAGACAATACTGCGTCCTTCCCTATCACCACACCACTCCAAACATGTTTAAGTTACTTTCTTCTGCATATTTTCTGCTCTTTCCATTGTCCAATTTGGAACTATTCCAGGGAATTTACTTTCCATTAAAATAAAATTTTTCAATGTCAGATATACTTGCATTCTCAGTGTACAACCCTTTCTATCTGTTCTATTAGCCCACAGGAAATAAAGGATTGCTTGATCTAGATAAACCCATATAATGTGTCAAAGAGTCCATTTCCAGCCACTGATGCTTTGTGGGGTTCAGGAAGAAATTCTGTCTTCAAATCATTCTGTATGTGGCTCTTAGCTAAAATGCTGTTCTTTTCATATTCTCTTCTGCTCCCTATAACTTTCAAGGCATTTTGATCCTGATCTTAGTTGTCTATTGTGCTTGCTGCATTCCTGCCTCTGTAGAAGGAATGGGAACCTTTGAAATGGAACTTGTTCTAGTGTACAGCATCAAGAACATTTTGTTGTTAGGTAGCAATATCCAGAGCTCAGTCTTGCTATACAGAACCAGACAGGCTAACCATGGTAACCAAACACTATGAAACAAAACAATATAAGAGGGGCATGCCAAATTTTGGGCCCAAGACAAAGAACTCCAACCGGGGGTAGAACAGCAGAGGAAGAAAGTTTGATAAAAATCAACTAGTGTTAATGACAAAATAATATTTTAACTGTTCATTAGAGGAAGAGATATTTTTTATAAAACTGTGGAAGAGATAAACTAAGACTGCTAAAGATAAACATAAACAGACTTAAATATAATAATAAACTCCACAGAAGCATGTTCCACTACCAAGTCACTTCCTATAAGGTGCTATAATAACAGGAATACTGTAAAGTAAAAATGATTGTAGTACTTAGGACCTAATTAAGAAAGGATGTAATAAAAAGCCAGTAACAAATACCTTATTAGCTGCTTCCAGAGCATTTATTAGGTTCTGCAGTTCTTCCTTATTCATTTCTACAGAGACTGGCTTAATTTCACCATTTTCTTTCACATCCAGATCAAGATTGAGAAGTGGCATTTGCAACATGGAGATCTTATCACTGGAGAGAGCAAGCTGTATATGATGAATTAAAAGTCATTTAAAGTAGAGACATTAAATGTTATATGTCCACCATGCCACCACATCTACACTTTATTTTGAAACGTCACTGTCAGGATTAATGTTAAGTATTTTTCTTTTTGTTAATTATACCCATCCTCTTTGAAGCCAGAAACTTTCATTCTGTTTCTTTAGCTACAACTGTTTTCCCCTCCATTGCATAATAGTTTGTTAATGCAAAATTGTTCAAAGATGACAGGATAACGGCATTTTTTGTTATAGGTAGCAGTACTGAATCATGGGTTTTGAAACCATTCCTCAAAACTTGGGTTGCATGAATTTTGCAATCAGATTTTAAAGCAGATTACATTTTGGGCCTGCCGACACTTAAACAGTGACACTGTAAAGCTTCTTGCTTATTTAGTTTTTCATATAATCCAGCATGCAAGTTCTACAATGGAATGGAATTGAAATATGCATCCAACAAGGGCCAGGATTAGATAAAAAGGGCAAATATGCTGAGAGAGCAAACCATGAAAGGATAAAAAGGTAAAAGAGATGACAGTAGGGCTGACTGAACAGTATTTACAACTTATTCAACAAGTACCAGAGTAATTGGGTAAGTACCAGAGTAAAAGTATCAGAAAACTATCAGAAAAGAATGGGGGATATGATAAAATCATAAAATCAGTCTATAAAATCATGACTGATGTGGAGAAAGTAAATAAGGAACTGTTATTTACTCCATCTCATGACACAAGAACTCGAAATGAAATTACAGTAAAAACTGTGTTATCCGGCACTTTACCACCCAGAAAGTTCTAGAAACCGGCATTTGTGATATCCATTAAAAGTCCAGTTTGCGTGGGGCTGGCAGGCTCCCTTCCTGGCTCCTCAGAAGAGGTGACATGTCCCTGTTGCTCCTAGGCGGAGGAACAGCCACGGGGGCTCTATGTTATCCCTCTGCTCCGCCCTGAGTGCTGGCTCCGCATCTCCCATTGGCCGGGAACTGCGGCCAATAGGAGCTGAGGCAGCAGTGCCTGCGTGTGGAGGCAGCGTGTAGCGCCACTGGCCACGCTTCTGCCTAGGAGCAGCAGAGACATGTTGCTGCTTGCGGGGAAATGCCCAAGATAAGCACCGCCTGGATCTGGCACCGTGAAACTTCCCCCGCACCCCAACCCCTGCCCCGAGACCCCTCCCGCATCCAAACTCCCTCCCAGAGCCTGCACCCCAACCCCACCACAACCCCCAGCCCTGAGCCTCCTCCCGCATCCAAACTGCCTCCGTCCATTGGTTAGTATACCTGTTAGTTAACCAGAATTTTTTTACTTACGAGCACCCCCCCATTTTCCCAACAGGCCATTTTCCCAACATGCCAAATAACAAAGCTTTTACTGTAACAGGCAGCAGGTTTAAAACAAACAAAAGGAAGTATTTCATCACATAACACAGTTAATCTGTGGAACTCTTTGCCAGAGAATATTGTGAAGGCCAGGACTATAACGGTTAAAAAAAGAACTAGATAAGTTCATGGAGGATAAGTCCATCAATGGCTATTAGCCAGGATGGGCAGGGATGCAAAACTATGCTCTGAAGAGTCCCTAGCCTCTGTTTGCCAGAAGCTGGGACTGGACAACAGGGGTTGGATCACTCAACGATTACCTGTTCTGTTCACACCCTCTGAAGCACCTGGCACTGGCCACTGTCAGAAGACAAGATACTGGGCTAGATGGACCTCTGGTCTGACTCAGTATAGCCATTCTTAAGTGGTTTTTTGCACTTTCCAGCCAACTCTGCAGCTGATCAAATACTATTTAACAAATATACAATTTTTCAAATACTGATAAAATTGGTCAATGGCATGTCAATGTTTTTCTACTATTTAAATCAGCCTCAGTAAAAGTTATTTTTTTTAAAATGTAATAGAAAGTTTATTGACAATTTTGCAACTAAATACAGTACACAACTCTATTCCTTTAAATTGCAGGGGTGTGAAGCGGTGCAGGTATTCTTCACATTGGCTAGCAAACACTGAATACATTTTTCCAGTCACTTGGCAGTATTATCATATACCAGATACAGAGAGCCTGTGACTTGATTTTGGTCCTGTACAATTATGGGAAGGCAGCTGGTCCTATATAACTATTACAGCAGCATTTCCCCAAAGGAGAGTTTCTGATTTTAATAAATTGCACAGGTGACTAATGGGAATAAAGGATAAAGCGAAATGTGAGCCACAGAGGAAGAAATAGACAGCTGTAAATTAGTTCAGATGTTATATTAATTCAGAATTAATTCTTAGCCAGAAATTAAAAAAAAAAACCCTCAATAGGAGAAAGTAACAAGAAACTGCAGGCAGCAACTGGATGTTTTTATAGGTCTGGTTTATAATTTTGCCAACAGTAAATTCAGTCAGAGAGACAGATCAATACTTAGCAAGCAGCTCATCTGAAGCACAACATGATGTTATGCTATCAGCTCCTGCAAAATCTGATCCAGTCAGAAACTGACTTGGAGTTCAAAATCATTTTTCAGCAAAAAATATCTACAGTGCTTCTTAGGACAAAAAGCTAGTCTGTTATTTAACAACTAACAAGGACAGATAAACATAAGCAATATTATCAGGATTATTTCTATAATGCACTTCTGGCAGATTAAAATGTTTATGCAAAAGAGCACTTCTACTATAGGCAGATTTTCTTCCAACTTTGGGCAGCACTGTTCTCATTAGTAAAATAAAACTAAATACAACTGATTTCAATCTATCCCTTAAACATACATACATTTAGTTATGATCTAGAGGGTTGTTTTTTTCACATGAGTCAGGGAATTCCATCTAGTATTCATGTAGCTTTACTTTTTTATTTTATTCTAAGTACAGGTTTTCTTCTTCTATTCAGTCAAGTTTCCAAGTCAGGGCTCAAATTGTGATGGAGAGAAGTAAATCAAATGTGTGAGGAGAATCAAAAAATCTCAAAAAAACATCCAAGAGATGGCAATAATGCAGCACAGCAAAGGGGAGCTTATTTTCATGAGCTGTATGCCTTCCCAGCAATTCTTCTGCTCTGGGTTTCTGGTATCCATACACGTCTAACCTTACCTCTGAATCAGGCAGCCTATCAGAGGCTGTGTCTGTAGCCTTCTAGGCTCTGGACAGTAAGAGACACAGATACAGTCTCACCTTTAACTGCCAGTCAAAATCCTGTAGCTGGGCAGAGGAGATTGCACTTATGCTTTCCACCAGTGCATGCCTGATTTCTTCCTTTCTGCCTTTCAAGCATTTTGTGATTGCTTCTTGATGGCTTGAGCTCAATTCATTCAACTGCTGAACAGCCTGAAAATATCAGTAAAAAGAGAGTTTTAATTATGAAGCAGAAAAGGTTAGATTTACAATAGAATATAGCTGTACTGGATAAGAAGCCAAAACGATAACTGCTACCTGGAGTTATTCAGTTTATGTCCTGGCTTCTCCCAACAGGTCACAATGGCAGACAGTGGAGATAAGCAACCACCAAAGCACCCTCAGATATAGTGAATAAAAATTTCACTGTAAAACCTTGTTTATATGCTAGGGAAATTTGTGAAATGTTTGCTCACTGTTGTTAACAACGATTCAGCTGAATACAGTTGAGGCTTGAAAAATTCAAGGAAGCTTCCCTTTCAATGCCCCTTTCCCACTGATTTCCCCGATGTGTGTTTCCTATGGTGCATAAGCAAACATGACTCCATTAAGTTTATCTCCATAACTGTAAATTAAATACAATATCACTCATGTATAAACATTGACTGGAGAATGGTCTCTCAAAGGGATACTGTTAACCTGTTTAGATTCCTTTCTTAAAAGAAAAGTTCCAATTAGAATCTGCTGAGGCGCCCTTTAAAAAATAAAATAAAAGGTAACGCTCCCAGAGCTAGTTTGAAAGGACACACTGGTATTGACTGTTTATCTGTCACTCAGCTGCCCACATACACTCTGGAGCTAGCATTCTGGCTGCTTCCTCCCTGCTATCCATAAAATGAAATAAATACATTCCTAACTGTATTTAGGAGCACCTACAAGTTTTCCTTAAAATTAGACACACTGGATCTTCCACAATATCAATACCACATCTCATCTCTGCTCATCCTCCCCATAGAATAACTTGCTGACATCCTGAATGACTTATCTCCCAGATAGAGAATGAGGGAAGAGAGGAAATGGGGACATACATACAGCCCAGGCATGAAGGGAGGGGGGAATGGATCACACAGAAACCCTGGAAGAGGGAGGAAGAAAATTGGGGAAACCTGGTTGGGGGGGAGGGAGCAGACAGAGCCACTAGGATGGTAGAGGAAGGTGGGAATGCGGGGGGAGCAGCCAGAATGGGTGGAAGGGGAGGAGAGTTTGCAGAGTCCCTGCTATGGGAGTCCCTGCTATAGGGGTATGGGAGGGAAGGGGACACAGAATCCCTGGTATGAGGGCACACACAGCCTCTGCCATGAGTGGGAAGAATGGGTGGCCCCAGAATGGAAGAAGGGGGGCACACATAGCCCTGGCCAGGGAAAAGGAATATGCAAAGACCCTTGGCGGGGAGAAGAGGACTGTAGACCCTATTGCGGGGGAACAACACCAAGCTTCTAGCATGTGGGAAGAAGGCAGGAGTGGGGAAGCACACATAGCCCATGGCATGGGAGGAGGAGGAATGGACCCCACAGAACCCTGAAAGGCATATTAGAGACCTGAGATTGAGGGCACACACAGAGTCCCTGCCACGAAGAGGGAATAATGGGGGAACTTGGAATAGGGCATACAGAACCACAGACAGGGACAGTGGATGGGTGGGGAAATCTGGCATGGGAGAAGGGATTGTGAAGAAAGTCCCTGCTACGGAGGGGAAGTGAGAATGGGGTGCACATAGAACTGCTGGTATGTGGGGAGAATGGAGGACCCTGGTAGGGTAGGAAGGAAATAGAGGTCACACAGAACCTGGAACAGAGAGAAAATGGGGAGAGCTGCACAGAATCCCTGAAATAAAGGGGGAATCAGAGGGGGCAGACAGGGTGCTGCTTAAGGTGATCAAGATTTGGTCTATTTTATTACTATCTAAGTCCTATATTTAACATATGAACCCCACTTAAAATATATAAATATTTCAGGATAGAATAGCAATAGTACTAGGCTTGATGGAAGAAAGTCAAATCTAATTGATGATAGTCTCACCTCTTCATCTGACAGATTTTTGCCAACTGTAGTTTTGAAGTATGTTGTTGTTTCTTCTAATACCGCCATCCATTCTGTCAAATTCCAAACACTCCCGTAATCCTGATATCGACAATATGCACGGCCACATATGCCATCAACTACTTGGTGAAGGAACTGGGGGGGGGAAAGAAAACCCTAAGGCTTTATAGTGGCTCCATTATTACCCTACACAAGAAGCAAAGTACAGCAGACAATTCACGTGTCACTTTTGCCTCAGAGGCTGGATGCTGAAGGAATGCCACCCTGGTATTGTGTAAAGGGATAATGTGCAGCTAGAGGTAGCATATTCTGGAAGAGCTGTTAAAAAAATTAAAAATAAAGAAATCCTGACTACATCACACAACACTTTTCACTAGAGGAGATATGTTTAATTCCTTTGCTTTGACCAGGTTCCACACAGGGTAACTACATCATGCCTCTTCATTGGGATAGTTTTTTCCCCCCCCATCTTCTGTTATGCAGTATTGGTATGTGCTATTAAACTATCACTGAGTGTCACGTGAGTCAGGTACAATGATCTTTCTGAAGAACTTTGGAATCTTCAAAATTAAACGTGCAACACAAATACCAGATGTTAATAAGTGAGTATCCACTGCTACTCTAATTCCCCATTCCCCAAATCACCAGCCACTTGCATCCAGAAATGCTCCCCTAGTTTCTCTGTCCTCAAGGCCCAGTGCAGCAACTACTTTCTTTGTGGCTGGAAAGGACTGACTAGTACTTCATTTACAAAAAAACAAAAAAAAACAAAAAAAAAAATCAACCATCGTCAGAGCTGTTGTGACAGCAGCAGAGGATTCTGGGTTATTGTCAGCGAGGAAAGTCATAGCCCAAAACAAATTAAACACTGACAGTTGTGAGGATGACTGAAGAATATCTCAAGTGTTTTTATTTGTACTGGTAGAAAACTATTAGATACATGATAAGTAGGGCTGTCGATTAATCTCAGTTAACTCTCACAAATAACTCAAAAAAATTAATCGCAGTTTTAATCGCACTGTTAAACAAAAGAATATCAATTGAAATGTATTAAATATTTTGGATGTTTTTCTACATTTTCAAATATATTGATTTCAATTATAACACAGAATACAAAGTGTACAGTGCTCACTTTATATTATTTTTATCACAAATATTTGCATTGTAAAAATGATAAAAGAAATATTATTTTTCAATTCACCTCCAACAAGTACCGTAGTGCAATCTCTTTATCGTAAAAGCACAACTTACAAATGTCGATTTTTTTCTTACAGAACTGCACTCAAAAACCAAACAATGTAAAACTTTAGAGCCTACAAGTCCACTCAGTCCTGCTTCTTATTCAGCCAGTCGCTAAGACAAAGAAGTTTGTTTATACTTACAGGAGATAATGTTGCCCTCTTCTTATTTACAATGTCACATGAAAATGAGAACAGGCGTTTGCATGGCACTTTTGTAGCCAGCACTGCAAGGCATTTACATGCTAGATATGCTAAACAGTCACATGTCCCTTCATGCTTTAACCACCATTCCAAAGGACATGCTTCCATGCTGATGACGCTCGTTAAAAAAATCATGCATTAATTAAATTTGTGACTGAACTCCTTGGGGAAGAATTTTATGTCTCTTTCTTTGTGTTTTACCTGCATTCTGCCATATATTTCATATTACAGTAGTCTCGGATGATGACCCAGCACATGTTGTTCGTTTTAAGAAAACTTTCACTGCAAATTTCACAAAACACAAAGAAGGTACCAATGTGAGATTTCTAAAAATAGCTACAGCACTCAACCCAAGGTTTAAGAATCAGAAATGCCTTCCAAAATCTGAGAGGGACGAGGTGTGGAGCATGCTTTCAGAAGTCTTGAAAGAACAACACTCCATGCAGAAACTACAGAACCCGAACCACCAAAAAATAAAATCAACCTTCTACTGGTGACATCTGACTCAGATGATAAAAATGAACATGCATTGGTCTGCACTGCTTTGGATTGTTATTGAGCAGAATCCATCATCAGCATGGATGCATGTCCCATGGAATGGTGGTTGAAGTATGAAGGGACATATAAATCTTTAGCCCATCTGGCATGTAAATACCTTAAAACACGGTTACAACAGTGCCATGCAAACACCTTTTCTCACTTTCAGGTGACATTGTAAACAAGAAGCAGGCAGCATTATCTCCTGCTAATGTAAACAAACTTGTTTGTCTGAACAATTGGCTGAACAAGAAGTGGGCTTGTAGGCTCACTTTACATTGTTTTATTTTTGAATGCAATTTTTTTTACATAATTCTATATTTGTAAGTTGAACTTGCATGATAAAGAGATTGCACTACAGTACTTGTATTAAGTGAATTGAAAAATACTATTTTATTTTTACAATGCAAATATTTATAATAAAAAATAAATATAAAGTGAGCACAGTACACTTTATATTCTGTGTTGTAACTGAAACCAATATATTTGAAAATGTGGAAAATATCCAAAAATATTTATATAATCACAATTAATTTTTTAACCGCACAATTAATTGCGATTCATTTTTTTAATTGCTTGACAGCCCTAATGATAAGCTAATAGGAGCTGACTGGAGAGAAGGGAACAACAGGAGAAAGATTTCCCCAGCTCATTTTATTAGGATTTGATGGATTAATGCAGCCTTTAAAATTACATTTAAAGACAAATGTAACCGATACCCTTCTCCTGACAATTAAAAGTATTTTATCTCATTACTTCCAAGAAGTTAAGACCCAATCATCCCTTCAAGTTTAGTGAGCAGAGGGAATCCTGATCCATACAGAAACATGTCCACTAAAACTCCACAGGATGGTTGTCATTGATGGTTTATTCTATTTTTGGGAGGACAGCAGATGGGGGGCGGGGAGGAAGGAAGCCTCCCAGCAGGGATGGGAAGGAGTCGTTGTCCTGAACATTCTTCCCTTCATAGACAGCAAGAATCGATGCCTAAGTTACTTAAAATATTGACCACAGAAGTTTAGTCAATAAATCCCAGAACCACCAGGTGTGCTGGGATGGCTTCCCCATGCGTACGGTGTGAATGCTGAGGGCGGGGGAGCGGGGACCCCAAGCCGCACGGGCACAGCTGTCGTGGCCCAGGGGTCACACGCAGGAGCGCGCACCCTAGATGTTACTGACAAGCACCCGCCACACACCAGGGGGAGCTGGTCTGTGTGTCCCCGAGGAGGGCAGGGCGGCTCCGGCCACCCACACACGGTGAGGAATTCCGGGCGCTTGTTCTGTGCTTACGTACAGCAAAGCTCGGGGGGGGGGGGGAGTGTCCCGTTATTAGCAAGGACGAGACACCCCGTGACCTGGGACTAGCCGGGAGATGACGGGCCCAGGCCCCGGCCCCGGCCGGGCTGCGGCGCCGACAGCTCACGTGCAGCATGGGGCAGTGACGCGCTCCAGGGCGCCTGGCCCCGAGCCGCAGCCGGGGTAGCCAGGCGGGCGCCCGGTCACGGCCGGGGCCGCTCGCTGCCCACGGGCAGCCCGCCCGGCGGGGCGCGGTACTGCGCCGGCCCGCACCGGGCGCCGCCTGGGGGCTGGGAGCCCCTGCGGGGAGGGGCTGCGGGCGGCCAGGGCCACAGAGCCGAGCCCAGCCCGCTCCGCCGGGGACGGGGGCAGCGCACCGGCTGCGGGGGCGGGTCTCACCTTCAGGACCTGGTCAGCCGGGAGCTTCTCCAGCTGCAGCAACATCGTCCCGTCCAGTCTCCACCTCGGGGGCGGGGCGAGCGACAACACGTGACCCTCGCCACTCCCGCTCGGCCCTCCTCCGGAAGTGCCGTGAGAGACCCTCGGCGGGACGGGAGAGCTACAGAGCGCATGCGCAGGGACAGTGGGCCTCACGGGGCGGGGCGGAGGCTGGCTGGGAGCGCGCATGAGCAGGGAAGGGGGTGGGGCTTGTCTGGCTGCAGCCGCGGCGGGGGCTCCTGGCTGTTGGGGGTCTCATGGGGTGGGCGGTGCCCCAGAGGAGTCGCTGCCTTTGCTAGCCCGGGGGAGCGGCGGGGCCCCGCGGGCGGGAGAGGGCTGAGGCGCAGCCTGGCCCGCTGGAGGGGCGCGAAGCCGTGAGCCTGCGCCGCCGCCGCCGCCAGCCGCTCGCTCCCGCCCCGAGCTCTCCCGGGGGGCGGTGACACTTCCCAGCGGGGGTCCCGTAATGTTCGGGCTGGTTCTGCGGCGCAGGGGCCCGCAGCGCAGGGAGGTGGCCGGGATCCACTGCGGGGGACTCCTGGGAGCGGGAGCTGCCGCGGCGCTGGCGAGAAGCCCCATGTGGAAGCGGCTGAGACTGTCAGACGTCGCGGCCGGCTGCAGGTCTGCGTGGGACTTCTTCGGCAGCAGCAGCTGGGCGGGGAGCCAGCGCAGGGGGCCCGAATGCGAGAGACGAAGGCCTTGTCTACGCTGCCACTTGACAGCGCTGCCACTTTCTCACTCGGGTGTGAAAAAGCACCCCCCTGAGCGCTGCAAGTTTCAGCGCTGTAAAGTGGCAGAGTAGATAGTGCACCAGTGCTGGGAGTTGCTCCCCTCTTGGGGGTAGTTCTTTTGCGGGGAGATGGTGCCGCAACTACACAGCCACCTTAAAAGTGCTGCCCTAACATCGGCTGTGTAGACATGCCCTTGCTCCGGCCTGGAGCCCTGCAGGCTCCCATTTGCTTGAATAGAAACTGGAGTGGAGAGGGCACCCTGGGGGTCTGAAGAGCCCTGACCCTGGATTGGACTGGTGCTCTGGGCCTCAGACAGGAATTGCTGTTACTCCTTTTGAAGTCTTAACTGTTTAAACTGCTAAATGCCCAGGATATTTGCAGACTTTCCTTTTCCTGCCAGCCCTAGTAAAATACCCTTTGCTCACTCGTGTGTGAGTGGTCAGTGAGACACACGGGATAGTGCCTATAAGGCCTAGCTGCTGAAGGACCTACAGTAGTTGCCTCTGAGTACTCATGGGGGAATTGTGTGCCATTGCTTGTGCACACAATTCATGTCTCATGCAGATTTTTTTGCTTCCGTGCAGAAAAATGACTTTCTGACAGGGAAACAGAGGGAAGCTGCAAGCGCAGTCACTCGCCACTCCCTAGCTGCGCAGGTACATTGTTTCAGGCACCCGGAGCAGCCGTCAGAGAGGTAAATCATCACAGGGCTGGAGACACTCTAGCCAGTGGCTCCTACCCTGAGCTGGGATCAGCTGCTAGTCCTCGCTGGGCTGGAGGCAGGAGAGGATGGGACTTCCTGTTCCCCTGCAACAAGTGGCTGGGGCTGTGTCAGACCCACCCCCAGAAACCTCCCCAAGCTGCAGGAAACTGGGGATCCTCCCCTCCTTCCTGCCCCCATTGCTCCTCAGCTGTGGGGGAGGGGTTACTGTATGGAGAGCTGCTCCGCCATCTGCCCGACTCCCATGCAGCCCAACCTCCCATACCCAGACACCCCCTGCCAAGCCATACCCAGTACCCACCTAGTTCTCCATACCCAAACCCCACCCCATTGAACCTCAACCCCTGCATTGGGAGCCCCCTGCACCCAGACCCTCACCCCTGTACCCAGACCATCCCCCATTGAGCTCCCTGCATTCAAACCCGCACCCTGATGAGCCCCACCACCCTGAGCCCCTACATACAGACCCCGATGCCACTGACCACCAACTAGCTACGCCCAGACCCCCTGTTGAGACACTTGCACCCAGACCCTTCCATTGAACCCCAACCACTTTCACCTGGAAGCCCCTGCAGAGTCCCATTGCCCCTGCACCCGGAACCTCACCCCCAATGAGCCTCTGGGCATCCAGATCCCCCCACACCTAGACCCCCCCACTGAGTTGCCTGCACCCAGATTGTTGCACACAGAATCCTCTCCCCCTACACTTGGATCTGTCTGGTTGATCTTGACTGCCCCACACCTGGTGCAGAGGGGCAGGGCCCCAGGGTGTTTCTGGGGAAGGCCCAGGCCTTGTGCAGTGTCAGGGTTAGGTGCAGCCTCACCACTGAGTCTGTGTCCTAGGGGTGGAGAGGCTGCAGGGTGATCTCTCATCTTTGTGCTGCCAGTGCCCTGTGCTTCCCACTGGCATGCTGGAGCCTCTGCATTTATTTATTGACAAAACTTGTAAAATATTGCAGAATTTTTAAATTTTTTGATGCAACATTTTTAATTTTTGGCACAGAATGCCCTCAGGAGTACTCTGAGATGTGGTACACTTGGTATGCTAATGGCACCCTTGGGGTTTGGTGTACTGAACAGCCACAATAATTACAATTAGTAAAACCTTTTCAAGTCCTTGAGTAAAAGGTGCTGTGGAAGTGCAAAGTATTTATTTAAACGAATTAACAAACTTCCTCAGCATGTATAATATAAATGTATGAATTAAAGCCCCATTACAACAAAGTACTGAAAGCCTCTGCTTAACTTTCTGCCTGTGAATAGTCCCATTAGACTTTAATTCATTGAAATCAGTGGGACAACTCTTGCTTAAAATTAAGCTCCCATGAGAGAGTTTATGAGAGTGGGTGCTAAAATGACAGACCCATGAACAAGTTGGAGAAACTGTTACAATACTCCATTGGTGGAGAGTGGCACAATGGAAGGCCACATGATGGTTAGCTCTGCTTGAAGCACATCTACTCCAAATGGTGGCATAGGCAGCATTACGCTTTTAGAACCATTTTGTGTGGATGTTTCATGTATTAAAGTAATGTCAGGGGAACAAATGGGTAGGATGCCATATTTCACTTGTGTAGATAGTTGCAGTAAACTCCCGGACAGGCAAAATTACTGCTATTGAGGAGGGTGGCCTACAGTGGAGTTTGCTCTTTCCAAGGGAAAGTTTTTGTCCATTTCAGATATCTTATAGTAATAAATCTGTGTTTTTTCAGAGTATACATTTGCCATTCTTGCTACATTATCAATTTCCAAAACAATATAATGGCTTCTGAAAAAAATAAACATTTAATTTTAAAATTTAAATCTAAATAGTATTTGATGCTATAATTGAATGTACAAAACAGCAAATGTATAGATGAATAAATTAAATTTTAAAATCATTTTCAGTAGTAATCCCATTCTCCTGCCCCTCCAGGCATTTTCACTTGTAACCTTGTCTCAAAAATGCATGGTAGATAACTGGAAATGAGGCCAATTTCATCTGTTTGTAGTACAGTCTCAGACGCAATAAAACAGAACAGCAGGGGGAGTGTTACACAAAACAAAGCTTCAGGTGATCAAAGGTAACATGAAATTAAGGGACGGATGAAGAAAAGACAATTTGGGGAAAGAAAGAAAACCTGGGTGAATAGAGACAACATATGCACATAGAGGGTATGTCTACACTTCAGACTTAAGCCAGTAGTTCAACGTACGATCACCTCAGTAATTACTGCACTCTGTGTCTACACTACTCTCCTCTTGGTGGTGCACTTCCTCACCAGGAGTGCTTACACTGACTTAAGAGGAGCAGTGTGGGGAGAGTGAGAGCCTGGGCTCTCAGCTCCACGTGCAGCTCCCTGCTGGAAGCCCAGCTTGCCCCTTGAGCTCTGGGTGGGGAGCTTCATGCCCAGAGCCTGGACAACTGCAGGGCTCCCAGTGTGGAGCCAGGAACCTGGATACAGCTGGGAACCTGGGTGGCAGCCTGGCTCAGAGCAGGGAGCATGGACCTTGAGGGGCAGCAGGGAGCCCGAGCCTGGCGGAGAGCCAGAAGTCCAAGGGGCAGCCTTGCTAGAGCTGGAGTCCCCCACCTGCCCTGTAGTGATAGCTCAAGGACAAGAATGACAGCCAACAGCTGATGTAAGTAAGATAGTGTCTACATGGACACAGTGTCGCCCTCACTACACCAACATAGCCCCCCTACACTTCTTGTGGAGGTAGAGTTATTGTGTCAGTATAGTCGGGCACTTGCATCAGTGGGAGCATGGCTGGAGCGCGGGCACTGACATAATTGGGTTGACATAAGCTGCCTTATGTTGACCTAGCTCTGTAGTACAGACCAGGCCAGAGATTGTTGATCTCCTTCAGCTGAGAGCTTCTCATAGAACACAATGTGACAGGGCAGCAGACTCGGTACACTGGTAGAAAATGTATTTGATTTGGTGAAGCCTCAGTGAAGAGACTTTCTAATTTCATACACATTTTTCAATTTTGAATAGTAAAAAATGTCACTTAGGATAACCGTGGCATAATGGCAAAACCCTACATTTACTTTACGGAGGGGTGAGGAGGATGGTGGGATTGGGGCAGGAGATCAGAACTGGGAAATGTTCCTGAGCCATCCTGCAATGGCAGAGCAGTTTGGCTCAGAAGCCTGAACAATGCGCTTCATAGCAGTTCTAATTGTTCTTTTAAAAAGGACAGTCTCCTCTGCATTGCTCTCAATGGCAACATATAGACAAGGCCCTAGGAGCTTAAAGACTTTCAAAGTGGCAGACTACTCCTTCATGACAGGTTTCAGAGTAACAGCCGTGTTAGTCTGTATTCGCAAAAAGAAAAGGAGTACTTGTGGCACCTTAGAGACTAACCAATTTATTTGAGCATAAGCTTACTTCATCGGATGTAGCTCACAAAAGCTTATGCTCAAATAAATTGGTTAGTCTCTAAGGTGCCACAAGTACTCCTTTTCTTTTTACTCCTTCATGATGCTCCTTCAATCTCCTTCAGCTTGCTAGTCAAAAGAATGCTCTGCTGAAGTCATTTCCAGCTGCTGTGTCAGTGTGCCAGTGGGGAAGAAGCTTCCTGCACACTTTTAACAACCCTCCCCCATTTGTGCAATAAAAGGTAGAATTTTGCTCTTAATTTTAATATACATTTTTAGGAAACCAGCTTTGCTAGCCATT